TATTTTAGAAGGTTAGGTGTTTTGTACAGTTTGCTGTCGGGACTGCCAGAAAATATCAATATATTTAGAAAGGATCTTTTTTTTAAGGTTAAATCCTTATTTTAGTCTCTGAACTATTATACAGACCTTCGATTTGGTCCCTGAACTAAAGAAATCCCTGATTTGGTCCTTTAATTATTGTACAGACCCCCAATTTGGTCCCCACTGTTTATAATTTGGCCTAATTTGGTCCTTGAACTATTGTATGAACCCCAATTTGGTCCTTACTATTTACAATTTTATCCCAATTTGGTCTCTAAACTATTATTTAATAGAAGGACTAAGTTGGGGTTAAATTGATAAACAGTATGGATCAAATTGGGTATCCGTACAATATTTTAGGGACTAACTTGGGAGTCTGTACAATAGTTTAGGGACCAACTCAGGTCCGTACAATAGTTCAAGGACCAAATTAAGGATTTCTTTAGTTTAGGGACCGAATCGAGGGTCCATACAATAGTTCAGGGACCAAAATAAGGGTTTAACCTTTTTTTAAATGTTTTCTAACTTAGACTATAAACACACGTATTCAACATAACAAAAAAAATAATAATAAACACACGTATTAAAAAAAAGTAATTAATATATTTTTAAGGTTAAATCTCTATTTTGGTTCTTGAACTATTATACGGACCCCTAATTTGGTCCCTGAACTAAAGAAATCCTTGATTTGGTCTTTTAACTATTGTACAGACCCCCAATTTAGTCCCTAATGTTTATAATTTGACCTAAGTTGGTCCTTAAACTATTATACGGATCCCAATTTAGTCCTTACTGTTTACAATTTTATCTCAATTTGGTCCATGAACTATTATTTAATAGAAGAACCAAGTTGGGGTTAAATTGGTAAACAGTATGGACCAAATTGAGCATCCGTACAATATTTAGGGACTAACTTGGGAGTCTGTACAATAGTTTAGGGACCAACTCAGGGTCCGTACAATAATTCAAGGACCAAATTAGGGATTTTTTTAGTTTAGGAACCAAATCGAAGGTCCGTATAATAATTCGGAGACCAAAATAGGGGTTTAACTTTTTTTTAAATGTTTTCTAACTTAGACTATAAACACACGTATTCAACATAACAAAAAATAATAATAATGATAAACACACATATTAAAAAAAAGTAATTAATATATTTTTTATTATAAATTATATAAAAATAAATTTGAATTTTAAT